GCCCTCTGCCGCCGCCCCGCTCGCCTGCCGGGCGTTTCCGGTGGGCGAGCAACAAAGAGCTGCAGTCCTGCTGCTGCTTCCAGCGGGGCGGGAGGCATCTGCGGCTTCGCGGTGTGTGCGCGGGCCCCCGCTGGTGACCTGGGGTCCCCTAGAAGGGCAGGTATCCGAGCCCGCCCCGGGACCCTCCGGAACACCTCCCCTAGGTACATGGAGAGAGGTGTAGACAGACGTCTTGCAACCCTACGTTATGTCTTTGTCCAAACCCTTAGTGATTCGGGAACTTTGACATGAAAAGCAACCACAGTAGAAAAGTTTTATTTCTGGCTTAATAGATGCTGTTTCCCTAAAGGAACCCTGGTAATGCAGTAGGTAAGCTCTTCTACTGTGTAAGAGTCAGCGGTTCGAGCCCACCTTAAGATTTTTCAGCCTTGAAAACCCTACAGTACAATTACAGTCTGACCCATAGGGTCAATATGATTGGGAATGACTCCCAGAGGGTTGGGCAGAGACCTAAGGCAGGGCTTGTGAGATGTAAACTTTCAGAGCCTCTGGAGCGTGAATGTAGTTTGCTGTCAGTGAAAGTTAATGACATGGATGGAAGTGGTCACCTGAGTTCCCTGACTGTACAATGGCGTCACTGGGGGGAGGGAAGGTGCATGTTGCATCCGGTGACACTGTCTGCGTGACTCCATATGATTGTCAATTTATTGCAGTGTTTTAGAAAAAAAGGTATTACTCTTTTATTAAAGCATCCCCGCGATTAGTCCTAACAACAAAAACTTTTTTTTTGCATCCGCGTGAATATGTGTTAGTACACGTACAGTACTGAAACTGAAAGCTAATTTACCTTTTTAATCTTCTGATTCCCTTCAAAGGGAATTCTGATGGCCTAATGGCAAGGAGCTGTGCTGCAATCCCGAAAGCAGCGGTTCAAGGCCACCAGCTCCTCCACAGGATAAGGCTGGGCAGTCTCCTTCCATGCTATTAATTGCCTCTGAAAACTCGACCGAGGTTCTGCTGTGGGTCTGTTCCCACCCTATGGTACACACCACCACCAATTTGCTTCAGGAAGTTCTGGTGGCCTAGGGAGTGCATTGCAATACAAAAGGCACACAGTTCTAATCCACCAGCCCCTCCAAGAGAGAAAGATGGGCAGTCTCCTCCCATGCGATTTAGGGTCTCTGAAAACCCACTATAGGTCAGCTATGATTCAATTCCTACTCGATGCATTATAACAGCAATTCACTCTAGTCAGAACTGTCATTATCATCAAATTACAGTTATGCTGTGAATTTGTTTCCGCTGGGTTTTTTTATAGCTGTTTATTTATGTCTGATTTTCTGGTATTTTAGCTAGGATATTGTAATTAGTATTTGTGAACTAATGTCAATAACTTTTTTGAAATTAAATAGTAATTAAAAGGTGAAAAATTTAGAAAGGCCTCCACTCTGTTACTAATCATGTTATAATTCATAAAGCTGTAATAGAATGAAGAGCAATTTTGCTAAACAATTTAGCTGTTATTACTCATAAAATCTAAAAATCTAAGTCATTGATAACTGTATTATATACTATTCTGACTAAAATTGGTAATAAACATTTCTAAGGAATCAGTATGGTCTGGTATAGGAGGTCATCTGTGTGTGTTGTGAGGTGATGGCACCTGAAGTTACTGCACTGGGAGGCTGACACCAATCCTAGTGATGCCACTGGTGCAAATGCTGCAAAGGAAATAGGAGATAAACCTGCCTTTAGGGAACTCAGACTCCTGCAAGAAGCCAGGGTCATACTGTGGCCAGAACTCTGTGCTAGAATTTGCAGTGATTTCAGTCTCCTTGGCCACTTGCTTCAGAAAAGTCTGTTGTGCTAAGAACCACTCAAAAGATTAGCGTTAATACATAAAAATACTGCAGAGCTGTCACCCTTGAGTCATGTATACATGTGCACTATTGTTATTTCTATGAGAAGAAGCAAATCTGTGTTGCATGTAGGATTGTATGAAGATAGAAGTTGAACTCGGTTCAACTTATGACCTCAGATGAGACTAAAACTGGGAAGGGATTGTTTAGCAGGGAACATTAAAACTTCTAAAGAGGTGTTGCCCAGTATTTGAAATAAGTTTGACTAGTTTTGCAAAGGCAATATGACTAGGGGGATTTTTGGCATTTAAACAGAATGCCAGTATTAATGGCAAAATCAGTAAGCTCCTTCCTAGTCCTCCATGGGAAGGGTGTTATGGATGCTGTTTAATTTTAAGAAGCAGTTACTAAGCGCCTGGTCACTGGGATAGACAAAAGGTAGTAGTCCTGAGTCCTTAACATTTGTCATTAGTTATTGAGTATTATGGGCCAGACGTTGTGCTAAGTGCATTAAATGTGTTGCCTCAATACATACAGTACAACTCAGTCAGTTAGGTGTTATGGTCCTGAGTTACTGCATTGGGAAACTAAGAACAATTTCCAAGGTCACAAAGTTGCAGAATTTGTTCTCAAACACAGACAATCTGGATTTGAGGGCCATGTTCCTAACAGCAATGTTACTATAAACCAATACCGCTCAGTGGGGTAAGCATAAGGGCCGTGAGTATCATTGGCTATTGTGTTCAGTTAACTCACCTAAAGTTTGGTGGTTCAAATCCACCTGGTAACACTGGAAAAAAAAAATTTCTTCTTCCATAATGATTATATCAAAGAAAACCATACAGAGCAATTCTAACCTGTAACACATGGGGTCTCCATGAATGAGAATTGTTCTATGGCACTAGGTTTTTTGTTTGTGTTAAGGTTTGTGACTTGTAAAAAGTATTCTATGGGGAGACAGATGTCAGTGATCGCAAGTGCTAAGGCAGCCATTTATAAGGGATTTTAAGATAAGATCTAAAAGAGGAATAGATAGTAACCAAGAAAAGAGAGTAGCATTGTAAGCAGAGCTAACAGCATGTGCAAGATTCTGATGGTAAGAAGATTGCTGTATGAAAAACTCATTGTTAGGTGCTATTGAGTCTAGTAATACTCATAGCAACCCTATGAACAACAGACCTGAACCCTGTCCTGTGCTGTCCATCTTCATCATCTCTGACACAGTCGAGCCCATTGCTACGTCACTATATCTGTCTCTCTCTCCTTGGGGGTCTGTCTTTCTTTCACTGACCATCTTTCCAAATATGATATCCCCTTCCAAGGAATAGCCTCTCCTAGAAGTATGTCCGAAGTATGTGAGATGAAGCTTCACCATTCTTGGCCTCCAAGGAGCACTCCGGCTGTATTTCTTCCGGACATAATCTGTTTATTCTTTTGGCAGTCCACAGGATATTCAATGCTCTTACCTAACACAGTGACTCAAAGGCACCAGTTCTTTTGTCATCTTATGTCCAGCTCTCGGATGTATAGCAAGTAATTGACAAACTTGGAGTAGCTGAAACACCGATGAAGGAGGAATGTCATTTAAGATGATTTTAGAGATTAAGGAAATTTAATTACCAGGTTGTGGAACTTTAGTCCAAGCAATAGAAAGAGTCTGAAAGGATCTGGACACTGTATTACATGAGTGTTGTTCTAGTCATGCTACCTAAATTCTGACAGTTATAGTCTATTACAAGTGGACATACATGAATGAAAGCATATTCAGAAACCCTAGAAGTTTCTGTATATACCTTAGAAGTTTATGAAAACTTAATACTTATGAATATAAAAATTTCTACTTAGTCAAATCTTGGATAAACTCTTGGGTGATAAGGCTTTATGGTTTTCTAAAATATACAATAAGAGATGTAAATTGCAAGTATCATTTTCATCATGTTCACAGAGAGACAACACCATCACCAAGATTTAAAATGGACTCTATAGAATATACTTGGAAGAAACCAGAGTCACAAGTTAAACAGATATATGCACACCCATGTTCCCATGTTTATTGTTGCATTATTCACAATAGCAAAGAGATAGAAGCAACCCAAATGCCCAAAACCAAATGAATGGATAAAAAACTATGGTACATCCACACAATGGAATATTATGCAGCATTGAAAAACAACAAACTCGTAAAGCATTCTACAACATGGGGGAGCTTGGAGGACATTATGCTGAGTGAAAAATCTCAGCCACAAAAGGACAAATACTGTATAACACAGCTGTTATAAAAATAGGACAGATGTGGGTAGTGTGGGCAGAGAATGGGGAAAGTGGATAGATAATGAACACTGGTAGAACTGATGAGGGGAGGACCTGTCCAAAAGGAATATATGATTAGGCATTATATGTATGACAACAGTCTGGAATAAGGGGTGCATTGCTTAGTGGAGATGGGGAGGGGAGAAAGGGAAGAAAATGTGCAACAACAAAAACAAAAAATTATAAATAAAAAAAATTAACTGGGGGAAAGGAAGGGAGAAAAATGTACAACAATGAAAATCCAACTTTTCTGTAAACTTTTATTAAAATCACAATAAAATGAAGTTGTTTTTTTTTAAAGGAATGGACTCTATATTTTTAACATTCTGATATCTAGGTGTTCTATCTAACCAAAACCCAAAGCTAAGGCCTCTGAGGTAATTCCGAGCCAATGGCAGCACACGCCCCTATCCCAACATGGGGTTTCAGAGGCTGTAAATCTTTCCAGGAGGATACTGGCCCCTCTTTCTCCTTCAGAACAATTAGTGGATTCAAACCACCAACCTTTTGATTAGCAGGCCAAAGTGTAGGCACTATGCCACTAGGCTCCTTAAAAACTCACATAGACAAAAAAACAAACAAAAAAAACCCCCCCCACACAAAAACAACCCCCAGCCCCCAAAAAACCCTCACATAGACATAAACAAGCAATTAAAGTGCAGTAAATTCTTTACTCTTAAGGATTAGTTGTGCAAAGTAACCTACTTGTTTATTGCCCATAGTGGTGGTTTTTTTTTGTTTCTCCTTCATTGGGAACTATTTCCAAAGCTCAGAAAAAACAACACAGCTAATGAATTGCCTTTCCAGGTAAATGGAGGTTGGAACAGACTTACCCTGTGGGTGAAGGTGACTGTGATTTGAGAGCACTGGAAAATAAATGGACTCATCTTAGAAAAATGCCCTGGCTGAACTCAAATGACTCAAGATGGGGAAATGGCCAGTGAAGCAATAGCCATGAATTCAGGAGATTAAATGATGAAGAAACCTGTGTTTAAAATAAACGGCCAAGGAATGGCAGCACACCAGCCCA